GTAGAGGAAAAAGTGACTATCTTATATTATACCACTTCTTTCTCATTGGTTTTGATCTCTGATGGGCCCACTCCAATACTTGCAGGATGTACCTTCTACAATATACACTCTTTACCATATTTAAAAATAATAGTTAAAGAAGTGAACTACTTCCCGAATGCTCCAGAAACTTTAATTATGAATGTTCCAGTACTTATACTGTAAAAACTGCCCAGGCACTGGAAAATGAGCATATTTCATATACTCAAGGTAGCAGACTCATGGTGGAAAAAATCTCACTGGGCAACCAGCAGCATTTGTCTCTGTCACAGTATTTCCAGTACCGTTGCATTTTCCCAAATGATGCAGAAACTCCTTCCCCAGCTCCAGAACCCACTTCTTTCTCTCCCTCCCCATCCTCTTCTGGTCCTGCCACAGACCAGACCCAGGCTTTCCTCTCAGCCGAATGACTCAGAAGGTGCCGCTCAAGGGGCTGAGGGAGAACTGTCACCACTCGCTCCTGCTCCAAGCCGGCCCGACATTGCCATCGCCCGGCCCGGCCCCGCAGTGCAGCGCACCGGCCTCCGCCTTCCCGGGGCCGAGTTAGGACTCGGGAGCTCTGGGAGGTGATGGAAACCCCTCCTGCTCCCCACGTAGCCCCTCAGGCGTCTGCTCAAGCCTCCAGGTCTCATCGCCCGGGTGGCAGGAGAGGCACCCGAGCTCTGCAGCACGGAGGGGAAGGTGATCTGTTTTTAACGTGCTGCCACCAGATCCGAGTCAACAAACCACTGGAAAAGTCTAGAATGTATATTTAAAAAGCAAACATCAAGATGTGATAACCTAAAATGCAGAACAGCTGAAGAAGTGGCAATTACATTATCCATGAAATGGAATTTACAGGCAGTGTTACCCCCTCTAGTGTGAGATGAAGCTTTAGGACCCAGGTTTGGCTTTTTCAAAGTGCATCTTTTAGGCCAAACTAACAGTAACTCCCCATTTTAATGCAGAGCACTAGAACTAGACTGAAAGGCCAGGTATTTCAGGATATTGATTTTCCTTCCATTCTCTTTAAATATAATTTTCTAAGTTCTTTTCCCTGCCATTCCTGCATGACTGTTACTCACAGAACCAGCTCGGAAGCTCAGCTTGGCAACCAGCACACAGAGAGAACCTTGATCAGCAAACTATCAGTAAACTAGACACAGAGGGAGGAATGAAAATGTATCAGTGGAGATCCTGCTCTGTGCTGAAAGTGCTTTTCAAAACACAAATGATGACAGGAGTAAATACATGAGAACAGCAGCTGCCCACCTGCCAGTGCCTCGCAACAGAAACCTGCAACGAAAATGTGCATTTCCCCCCCAAAGTTGAGCTGAGGGGACCTATCCCATTGCAGACATCGGGTTTTCATAAAAAAAATAACGGAAGTTTTTGAAGCTGCTGGCTCTGGAGCTGGGAATATGGGCAGGGTGTGTGTCAGGCGTGGAACAGCTGGCTTGGAAGCTCCCACAAAATCAGCTACAACGGTGCAGCCGGGCCAGGACACCACCCAGCCAGCAGCCGTGTGCTTTTCCTTTGTGGTTGCAGAGCTGTTTCAAAAGCCAAGCTTTCATTCCACAAAGGAAGGGGGGGGGGGGAAGAAAAACCCAAGGCTTCAGCCCATCCAAGTCTAGACCAGCTTTTTTTTTTACAGCTGGAAATTATATAGTTTCAGTGTTCAGCAACAGCGTGGACAGAAACACACTGAGCCCCACTCCTGGCTAAACTGATCCCTTAAAAGCTGCCACTTTTGAGCCTGTACAAGGGCAAAATTCATCCATCTGATGCAGAGATGTGTGCTGATGTGCAGCCAGGCTTGCAAAAACACAATCACCCATAGAAGGGAGCAACCTGGTTGATCAGGAGGCAGAAAGAACAGAGTCAGGGGGGTTTAGATGCAGCCAGTAACCACAGGGCTGCTGGTAAAATGTACAGGAGACTGTCAGGCTGGATGCCATCCTCCTTCACAGAGCTCTGGAATGTGAGGTCATCTTCTAGAGAGTGGAATAAGACAAAACCCAAGAAAAAACACCCTAATTTAAACACCTGAGTTGAGTATCAGCAGAGTCTGAGCACGGCCCAACTCCTTTTTGAGTCAAAATAGTACAGACCTGCATAAAACACAGCAGATGAAATTTGTTAGTACTGGCATCCCACACCTGCATTCAGACTCTGCAAGGGCAGCTGTTCCTTGCAGATACAGGTGTAATTATCATTTTCATTCACACTGATCTTTGATTAACACACAGATAACTCTGGAATGCCTGGGAACAACTCTGCTGACAGATTCCCTGATTGCCCTCACTCCCCCAAGTCCATCTTCTGCTGTCTATTAAAAATTTCCAGCATAAGCACAACATATTTTTTTAAAAGCCCAAGTACACAATATCTCTCTTAAAATCTTTCCCTCATTTCACAATGTTTTTGAAAGGCATAAATAAAGCCAAATAAATTTTATGTGACAACACAGGGTTTTTTTGTTCAGTTTTAACTCCAGTGCTGTATCTCTTGATGAATAGTTAAGAGAACTATGCACAAACCAGATCTCATCTGCAACTTAAAGAAAACAAAAAAATCTGCTCCTCCAGCATATAAATCATCCAAAAGCAATAAAAAATACTTAGCTGCACATTTTCAGGAATTTTGTGCCTCTGAACACTTGCTTGATCTAGGATTTTTCAAAACCCAAAATACATTACTCTTCAGTGGTTAAATACCATTATACAGCTGTTTAATAGCCTTGAATTAACTCTTAAGTTTGTTACCCAGCTTCTTCCAGGTAAAGGTATTTCCAGAGCATCTGCATTAGTAGAGCAAGAGGTTTCTTGCATAACTGCTCTAGTGGGGGGAAAAAGAAATCTCCTGAAGGCTTTTTAATATGATCTTTCATAATTCAAGTTCTTGGGAATTCATACCAAAGCAGGAACAATGGATTCATTAAATAGTTCACTTTCACCTAATGCTTTCTGCATGCTTCACTCTTAAGCTATAAAGCAGCAAGCAACCACCTTTCCATAATGTTTGTGATCAAGGGAGAGCTTTCCATTTGAAGTCAGAGGAAAAACCCTTCCATCTTGTGCAGGTTATGAGCCAAGAAAGAAGTTTTACAAACTGAGGTTCTTCCTCCCACACTGTTTAATAGCTTAGAAGTGACTGATCAAGAAAAATTTAGGAACTTGAGGATTAAAATTAAAAAAAAAAAAGGGAGAGAGAAGGTTGAAGTTTCCAGAAACATGTAAATCACTTCATTCTTACTGGGTATGTCCTAATAAATCTCAGAATTGGGCAAAAAGCCATATCCCTAGTCCTAGCCAGAAGCAAGTCTTGAGTCACAGAGAAAGATTAGCACATGCTCAGTCCAGACCTGCTTATTTCTTAAAATGTTTTTACTGAATTAAATCAACCCATCCTAACCATTTTATCAGCACAAGGATTTCTGCTTCATTAAGACAAACCTCCCCCAGCTGTTTTTCTGAAGACAACACATCAGTCTGTTGCCTGTTTCCCCAGCACAAGGGGAAGATGTTCCCCAAGGCAGGAGTGAGATTACAACTTAGTCCTCTTTCCTGAGGAGGAATCTTCAGACCTTGAAAATATCTTTCCCCACCTCTAGTTTTCTTTTGCCTTGTTAAAGATTAAAATCTGAGCTTACATACCTGTGTTACAATGATAGAAATTTAAGTCTACATATCAAAATGGACAACAGCCAGGAAATTAGTTTCCATAGGAACATCAACAGCATTCCCACTTCACCTTCTCCACACACTTGAACACATACTTTGAGGTCTAAAGCAAAAGGCTCTTCACCTTTCCATTTCAATATCTGGCAACTTTAAAACTCACTGGTAACATGCTCCTGTTTCATTTATAGTCAAGAGAATATCTAATGCACATGAACAGTATATTCAAAGTTGGCATTTGTACCTATTGATGAACACAAGGATTCCAAGAGCAAGTCTTTAGAAACATGCTCAGGCAGCCCTAAGCCACAAGGAACACTGGTACACACTCCAATGCCTACAAACAAGCTCAGTAACAGGACACAGGGACACTTGTAATTTGCTGACAGGGACTGTTTCACTCTTTTCCAAAGACAGCCTGGATTTTATCTGTCTTGCATTTTGTGCTAGAGAGTGAATCAAGGGGATGGGATGTTTGCAAAGCTCAGTTATGATGAGCAGTTCTATCTGGATATACACCAGAAAGATGAAGACCACACACTTATTCCTTGCAGCCCCTCACTTGCCAGTGTGACACATTCACTGGTCAGAGCTCAGCTCAGCACTCACCACCCTCAGCCTGGGTGCTGCACAACCTGGCAGCAGGGTCATCTCATCTCCCATCCTGCTTTATACACATTTATTGCACTAGAACACCTGCCTTCTGTGAAAAGATGCTGTAGAAAAACCACGAGATTGTAAGTACTAGATTTATCGTTTGTTTGCAATTATATTTAATATTAACAGTGTCTTGTTTTTACAAAGCAGTTGAAATAAAAAAAAAAAAAAAAAAAAAGGAATAGCAAGAACCCCCCCCATCTGCTGTCTAGCATGTCTAGCATCAGTTATCCTCACTGGTTTGTTTACCATTTATGAGGAAAACATCATTCAAGCTGACTTGTCACAGAGACTCTTCTGCAATAACTGGCCTTCAGTGCAAATCCGTGGCGCTTGTCAGATCACCTGGGTTTTTCCTGAAAGTCCCTCTGCCTAAATTCAAAGTGTCTGCCAATGATAATATCCTTCATCTCTAAAGGACCTTCCAGACAAACACAGTAGATCTGGTAACATATGTTAATATCCTCATTTTACAGAGGTAAACAGAGTGTAGATAATTAAATTTGCCTGAGGCCAGTGTTTTGAAGAGCCAGAGAGCCCAGATCTACCAATTCCAGGTGATTCACCTTGGCTGGAGACTAAGCTCCCTCTCTACAGAAGAGTGAAAATTAACTGATTATGCCGGAATTGTTTCTCTGTCCTCTGTAAGAGGACCAGGTATTTTTCTTGTGTAGGACCATCCAATGCAGTTTGGAAAAGGTTGTTTTAAGTGACCACCAGCACTAAACCAGCCCCAAAGGAGTTCCTGTGACAGGCAACCTCTAGGCAGTTAGACAGTGGGTAAGCTGAAGCCTGCTAGTGCTATGGGGCACTAGGGAGGTTAACCTCATCCACCTGCTGACGGGCCTCTCCGGCCTGGTCTCCAGGAACACGTTCCACCTCCTTCTCCAGACAGTGGGTTGTAGCCTGGGAATACAGAAGAGAAATCCATTGTGTTAACAGTCATCCTCCACAGCCCTTCACCAGCACACAAGGAACACCAAAAATAAATCTCACCATTACTTACGCCTCGTTCATAATTACTACATAGGCAGCATTTTATGGAAAATGAAAGCAGAGAAAATATCCAGACTTGAGAGGGCTTATTTTTGTAGTGCTAACAGTAAAAGCCATTGCAAAACACTTGTGTTTTAATTTGATCAATTTGGATTAAATTAAATTGAAATTAATTACCATTTGATTTCTCTAAGTCTGAACTAAAGCTGTAGTGCTGCTCTGCAGGATAAACAGAGAAGTAACAGCAGCTTTTACAGTAAACTGTGGGAGTGTAACTGTTTTCTAAGAGCCCTAATGGTCAGGAACTTAAATAAGACCTGCATGGAATACTCTGAAGGTCAAAAGGTAAATCCACTCACTACTAGTGCAAGGTATTTTTTTAGAGAATTTGAAAAGGCAAGCATAGGCAGTAAGGCAAATACACTTTAGTTGAACATCCCAATGCTGCAACCATGGGTAACCTCATTTCAGGACACACTCAGAAAGATACAACCTGGCAAATGTCCTCAGTTTGTTCTGCACAAAGCAAAGAACCCACATTTTAGTAGCACTGTTAACCAGGCAGGTTTCCATGTTCCACTGAAACTCCCAGCATCACCTTCATCTTCGAAATTTGTTTTCTCAGAGTAGCCAAGTTTCACTTTCTAGCTTAATTCAGCAGCTGAACAGTGCAGATGGTTCTTTCACCTCATGAGAAGATCCAAGACCTTTAACTCTATAATTGGTTACTTAAGCAAAGATTTTGCTTAGGATTAAACTAGGACAGATAGAAGCTGGAGAAGTGCCTCAGCCCTGATCCTGGTTCTCAGCACAGCTATTACCCACACATTACTCACCCCCAGGGAGGTAAATATCCCATGTGAGAGCTATCAAAGGTATCTGACAGGATCAGACATCACACTTCTTGATTCCTTCAAATGTCAGAAAAAATATTCAAAGCAGAAATTTCATCACTCCAGTATTATAGAGGTTTAATATGTTTCACCAAGAATCTGCAGCTTTTATACATTTAATCAAGTGACTTACTCAGTGCTAAGTGGGTTTTCCTTTTCAGCCTGCTATGATTAAGGCTGTCTACACAATCCACTCCACTATGGAAAACTGTAATTAAAATATACCCAAAGCAGCATTTGCAGGTAAGGCACAGGCTGTTGGGCTGAGAGGAGAGACAGGAGACTGCCTGCATGGCCAGTGTATGGCAAAGAGCCCAACAAGGGCAATGTGAGGCCACAGAAAGCATTTCATCCATCAAGATAATTTCAGCAGGTGACAGTGAGTTTAATGGTGAGACCTTCTGGTGCTTTGTGACAGTTGATAAGATAAACTCTGCAGGATTTATACATTCAATAGGTCATTACTGTGGTATCTGACAAATAAGGTCAGATTTTGCATAATTAAGTCTTTCATCTTCCTGAATCTACAAATTTACTTCCAGCATTTCGCTCATGCTATGGGTGCTTGAAAGACAGAGCAGGTATTAAATTATTGGGCTTTTACAATAATGGGGGAGGCATCCCAGAAATACTGTAAAAATCTGCAATTTTGAGTGACAAAAATCTCAGTAAATTATGGCAAAAGCATTAACAAAAAACCTGGAGCACTGTTTTCCCGGGGAAAAGCACCACAAAAACTTCCTGACAGGTTTTTGCACAAAGTGCAGAGCAGACCAGCTGACCAGAGATACAGAGCTCATTTGTAAGGCACATTTTGTTTCCTCACTGAAGAAGGCAAAAAGTCTGTGCAATGACTACAGACACAGCTGCATAAATGCTCTGTTTCAAGCTCAGGGTGTCTCAAGGATCCCACACTTACCACCTCCTCGCAAAGGCTTTTTGTTTGGTTTAGATTTCGGGACTGCTGAGGTGGAGGCACCAGACTGTGCTTCTTGCTGTTCAGAGAAGCAGAAAGTTACTGAGTGTGAATTTCAGTTAATTTAAACACATAAATACAAGTGTGACCTGATTAACAGGGTTGTTACCTGATTCAGTTTCAGGTTTCCTTTGTAGCTCTTCCCCTCTTGCATGCTTTCCCACATCGCTATCTTCTGCCTCCGCTTCTCTTCTTCAAGCTACAGAAAAAAATCCAGGACATACAAGATTTCAGAACAGAATCCTCAGAAACATCTACAACAGACTCATCAAACCCCAAGGGATCCACCTTTATGTGATGCAGTAACTCTGAGCTTATGGAAGCATTTACTTTTATACACACCCACATCTTCCCCTCCTCAGACTGTGTCTGGATGTTCCCCTCCTCAGACTGTGTCTGCAGCTTCTTTTGGCCACTTGATGCTTTAAAACATTTTGAAAGTAAAACAGAACCAAGTGGCAAGCTTAAATCCTGAGCCTATAAAAAGTACTAAGTAAAGAATATTGCCTATGGCAGGAATTCAACGCTCAACATGGGGTTCCTCAGAAGAGAGTCAGCTACGTATTTACATCCCAATATTCATTACCAACAACTGTCCCAGCTCTCTTCTAGAGAAATTTCTCCACAAAACCAAAGAAATTAATGGTTAAGAATCACAGAATGGTTTGGATTGGAAGGGACTTAAAGCTCATCTTGTTCCACACAAGGACCCCTTCCACTAGACCAGGTTGCTCCAAACCCCATCCAGCCTGGCCTTGGACACTTCCAGGGATCCAGGGGCAGCCACAGCTTCTCTGGGCAACCTGTGCCAGGGCCTCCCCACCCTCACAGGGAGAAATTTCTTCCTAACATCTAATCTAAACAGAAGAGGTGGGACTAACTTGCTGATCACACCCACCCCTCTGCCCTGCCCCACACAGCCATCTGCTATTCTTTGTTACCTCAAACTGTAATTCAAACCCTTAAACTGCAGCAGTGCTGAGGTACAAACACCCACATTTACCATTAAGAACAAACAACACACGTATGCAGTGGTACAATTAATCTAAATGCCAGTAAATCCCCTGCAGCCATTCACTGCACACACAACTAAGTCCCTGCAGGTACAGATTTACCTGGGGAAAAATCAACATCAGGCCCACAGTGACCCTGGCACACAATCACTTGTGGAGAAGCAAGTTCACAGAGATTAATTACATCAACATTCCAGAGAAAACGAGTCTCCTGTTTGTCTGCATCTAACATGGAATAATAATTTCCTTAACAGCAGCGAAGTACCTGATGACAAATTTATGAGTTAAAGAAAGAAGCACTCTCTGGTTACCTGTTTTTGTTTTGCTTTGTATCTTTCTGCTTGTGCATTCAACTCCTCCTGCATCCTGAGGCGAGCTGCTGCCAAAGCTTCCTGCCTTCTTACCACCACATCAGGCTCTAGAAAATTGGGAAAGAGTTTGCAAAGTAAATTCTAGATGATCTCCTTAAAGAATTATAACAAGGAAAGGCTCACATCTCTCCCTGCAGCTGTTTTGCAGAAAATCACAGCTTAAGTCCAGTTTCCAGCTAATCTTTTACAGTAAATTATATGCTGATTTAAATTTCATCATGCTTTCACATTTTAAAGCAGGATTTTAATTAATAAGGACAACGATGTAAATAACCCATAAAAAATTAACTTCACACTTCTGAGGTACTTGCTTCTATTTCTGAAGCATTTGTTTGATACAGATAAATTCAGAAATATCACCCAGGCTTGACAGGGATCCCATTTTTACCCAGAGAACTTCTTTTACGCAGAAGGATGAGGCAAACCAGCCCACATTCACTCCTACTCCTTCTCACAAAAGGTCCTGCTTGTGTCAGTGCTGCAGTGGATTTAACACACCCCACCAGCACAGAAATCACTTACTAACATGACACATCTCTCCAGAGACACCTGGAGGTCTCGGAAAACCTACACTGAGTCACCACTTCTCTTCATGACTGGCCTTTAAGAGAAATCAAAATTGAAATTACACCCCAAAAAAGGCAAATATTGCTCTCCTTTTTTCCCCAGCAGCTGAAGTATCTCCCCATTTGTTGGCCTCCTTATATGTTTGCACCATCCAGTGATGACTATGTGAAACAAATGTCAGCACTTTCAGTAATTTCACTTTACAGGCAGTTTTGGCAGTTAAACCACGACTTAATTAGCACCACAAAAGAACAGCAGTGGGATAAGGGCACGCAAGGGAGGTTTTCTGGGGCCCCGCGTTCAAGGTTCCAAAGGGATGAGTGCCAAGCACTCGTGGACTTGGCAGATCCACAGGCACAGCCTGTGCTTTACAGCAGGCTCCTGACTGTGTAAGCCTTGCAACCTGTGCCACACTCACTGAGATAACACAGACAGGAGGCTGCTACACCCCAAATGTACACAGCGCTGCCAGAGCAGGAACTGGGAAGGAATAATTTGAAGAAAAATAACGAATACTAATAAAAAATGAATGTTAATATTTTTCCCTGGGTTTAGATTTGGACGTTTTGGTTTTGTTTGGTAAGTTTGAAAGTTATCTGGTAAGTGACCACAACAGCTTTTAGCCACCATTCCCTCAGCTCCCGCACCACCAAGGGGCAGCTGTTCCCCCGCCCTGCAGCGCCCTGCTCCTTCACTCCCAAACACGTCCCTTCGGACACAGCCCTTCCTTCAGAACCTTCTAAAAACACTTCTCCTGGTCCAGCTTTTCCCAGCGATCTCTTCCCTCACAGTGGGTTGACGCTGTTATCCCGAGCATCGCTCCCCATGGACATCCCTCAGGACCGAACCTCTTCTGGGCTGTAACCGACTCCAGACCCGCGTGTGGGTCCGAGCAGGGTCAGACACCCCGCCCGGACCGCGCAGCGCCGGCAGGACCCGGAGGGGCACAAACACCGCCCCGGGGAGGGCGCGGGGCCTTATTTTACTCTATTTACTCACCCTCCGCCGCCTCAGCCGCTCCGGGGCCGCTCGACCGCGCCGCCAGGCTCCGGGACACCTTCTGCACGAGCAGATAGACGGCGACGGAGCCAGGAGGATTACCAGCCATAGCTGACAGCAGCGACGCCACTGCGAGGGGACAGCCGGGAGTGAGCGCGGCCGCGCTCGGGACGGCCCGCCCGGCCCCGCCCTCGGCCCCGCCGCCCCCGCCCGCACCCCGGCCCCTGCTCGCCTCACCCGTGTGCTGCAGCACCTCCAGACCTCCCCGCCCAACGACGGCCCTGGCCCGGCCCGGGCCCCGCCGCGCCCCATCGCGCCAGACGCCAGCACTGGCTCCAAGCACTGCGCCCATCGCCGCCCGCCTCACGTCGCACCGCCCTGGAGCCGGGCCCCGCCCCCGCGCCGATCACCGCCCCGTCCGCACGCCGCCTGAGCCAATCACCGCCCCGTCCGTCCACCGCCTCACTCCAGGAGCTGCCCGCTGACCAATCATCGCCCCGTCCGCCGCCGGCTGAACCAATCACCGCCCCGTCTGTCACCGCCTGCGCCAACCACCTCCCCATGCACCGCCCCAGCGCCAATCACCGCCCTGTCCGTCACTGCCTCACGTCCGGGCGCCGCCCCGCTCCGCCAATCACCGCCTCGTCCGCAGCCAACTCCAGGAAGCCACGCGCCACCGCGGCAGCGCGCTGAGGTAACATGACGGCTGCACCGGCCAATGAGAGCAGAGGGGCAGCGCACGGCGGCCAATGAGGGCGCGCAGAGGGTCCCGCCCGCCCCGGGAAGGGTTCGCGACACCACGGGGAAAAAAAGGGACCGTTGGTTTATTGGACACCGAAATGTGCAGGGACGGGGGCGATGGGCCCCGAGTGGGGCAGGAAAGGGCTCCGGGGCAGCACCAGAGCCGGCTACGACCCGTTGGGCACCGTGTCCTCTTCCATTTCTTCCTCGCCATCCTCCGAGGGGCCTGAAAGGATATGACAGAGTTTCAGGGCAGCTGTCACAGGCGTTGATGTTCTTTTCCCACCCCTCTGCACAGGAGTAATAATGGGAGTTCTTAAAAACATTAGGAAGGAAAATCCAAGCAGCACTGACACACAGCAAACAGGTGACGTGTGGACCCTGCCATGGGCTGTGTGTGCTTGGAGAGCTCCAGGGACTCAGTGCTACACCCACACCCCCAGCACCAACACTCAGCATGAGTCCAGATGGACTTTGTAATTAATCTCATTTTAAAAAATATTTTTTAAGTATTTAAAAAATAATTTTGGAGCTATCCAATACAGCAAAGTGCCTTGTTTGGCACCTGCTCTGGAGGGAGTACAGGAACAGCCCTGAGCTGCACTCGAGGCCAGGCAGATCCTACACCAATTAAGAGTAAAGGATGTGCTTCATAGTCCTTCTAATGATAGTTACACTCATCTAAAACGAGCTTTTCAACTCCCAAAGTGTCCTTTTCTAGTAAGTCCCTACTGAGATTGCATAAAGCATCAGAAAGGTGGATTCTGTTTGGGAAACAAGAGTAACAGAAGTCAAGTGACCTGATTTTCGCTCTCTGCCAGGGATCTGCCCAGCCTGCAGCAAACCTTTCAGTCGCTCCACCTCAGCCAGAGTCGTGGCATTTGCTATGGCAGCCTGAAAACAGACACAGAACACAGTGAATCTTCACACTCAGCACCTCGCTCTGCCCAGAATTAACATAAGAAACAGGTTTTTCTTCCAAGCTCCTATGAAAGTTCTACTAAATCCTAGTTCTAGAAAATTCTAAGTACAATTTTGCTTCTCTCCTTATTAAACAAACTGCTCTCCCCTGGGAGAACTCTAAGCTCAGACTAACTTTCATTTTAAGTTCTCAAAAAACAGGTAAGTCAGAAGAAAAATTACAGAAAAAGCACCTAACCAAAAGTCAGGACACACCGATCTGTCTGTCTGAACAAAGGAAACATTTGTTCAGTTTGGATCCACGACAGTTTTTCTCCTCCACTTTTCTCCTGACACATTTACCTTAATTGCCTCCACGTCCCCTGGGGAGGGCCCAGCTTTCTTTTTGTCAGTTGGCAGACCAGCCCCTGGATTAAAGCTTCAAAGGAAAAATAAAGACCACTTAGACTTTTTGAAGAACTGGTGCTTCTCTAACTTGAAATGTTTCCAAACTGGGTTTGGAAGCATTTCATTCAATCAGGTGTAGTATCTTATCTTTGTTAACAAACTGATACAGTGAAGAATTGCCTCCTTCAGAAACACCAGCACCTTGGTCCTGCTGTCCCATTCCCCCCCACACACCTTTTCACCTGCTCAAAAAGAGAGGCAGAACTTAGCTATTAATTAGGCAGTTGACAAAAGCTCTTCGATTTGGATGTTGTTGAACACTCAGGAGGGTCTGCTGCCATTACAAAAGCAGGGTGGATGAACAAAGAGTAACTGAAACTGAGTTTCCTGTTCTCCTGTGTCTAATGAGATACTGCAACAGAATATATTAAAGCCTATGCTAGACTGGGTGTCATCTTAACACTCCAAAGGAAAAGGTTATTTGCTACTGCTTTAAGGAAAAAAAGAGAAAAATCTAGACTATGTCAAAACAGAAAGAGCTGGAAAGAAATTCCTGAACTGTTGACCCAGCACCAGAGTGCTGCAACCTCTCTTGCAGCTACAGAAAGGTTTTCCTCATGTTTATTGAGCTACTTAGTTCAATCAGCTGCTTGTTCTAAAACCATCACAGATATGAATTCCTTTCCACTCACAAACTACAGCTGGAGTCCATCTATTATAGCTTTAAATGCCACATAAGTTCAAGACATTTTTTTATTTAACTATGAATTTGGAAATGCTGTTGACACACATGCTCTGAATTCTTATTTCCAAATAGGCTGATCAAAGATTAAACAAAACACACGATGTACAACTTAAGATTTAAACTAAATAAACATATACTTGTAATAGCTTAACTAAAGATTTTCATCTGCATTTATCCTCATAACTCCAGCACATTTTACAGTTTATATTCCCAGGCAAAATAAAAAATTTTAGTTACTAATCATCTAGGGAAAAAAACCCCATAAAATAGACAATGGCCACCTCTCTACAGTTAAATAACAAAAAGAAAAAATAAAATGTATGTTTCCTGCTTGTTGACTTCAATGAATTCACCCTGACCAAAGATCTCTTTCAAAGATTTTCCTGAGATGTATTCACCACCATCCAAAACTCGGGGTGCTTGGACAAGGCACTTCTGGCTCCCAAAGCTTTTAAGGCATCCTGCCAAGCAGCTGATATTCCAGTTTTCTGCCTGATACTGCACACGAAGGAAGTGGTGTTTCTGAAGGAGGATGCCAGTGTAAATTTGTGTATTTTATCTTACGTTTTTGCTCTCCTGGCAATATCCTTTGCAAGCTGTGCACCCCGTTTGCCCTTGAACATTTTCTCTGCCTCCTGTCGCTCCTACAGCGATACCACACACACAGAGTTAATTTGAGAACATCACAGTTTGCAAAGCTCCTGCCTTTGCCAAGAAAAGACACTTTGGCTCATCTTCATCATTGAAATTGGTACGTGGGGACCAGATGTAAGAACAAGCAGATAAACAGTGCCCAAAAAGCTCAAAGATGTATCAACCTCATGCTCTTAAAATTAAACTCTTTCCCACATTCAACTTCACCGAGAGCTGAGGGCTCTGTGTGATTGCTCATTTCTTTCTCTAGAGGTCTGTCTTCTACCAATACCAGAGGGACAGAAAAGAATAACACTGAACAAAGGCAGTAAAAATTAATTACACATAATTAAACAGACTATATCCTTAACAGAATGAAACCATGAAAGAAAACAAGGAGCGTGTTTTAGAGCCACTTAAAGAGTTTCAATAAAATTTACAGCTATGCCAAAAAGCTTTCTGTTAGTGAGGAATTTTCAAGAATGCAAAAAAAAAAAAGTGCTAAATCAAAAGAAAGCAGACTTACTTTGAGTTTCACTTTTTGAAAATCCAGCACTCTGACCTGGGGAACTTTATGGATTAGGTACAATCTGTAATGCTTCTTATTTGTTACAGGATTCCTTAAAACGCTATAAAGTAAATAAGGGTTATAAAGAAGTCCTTGATATATTTTAAAATACATTTGTACTGAAATACATTAATTTACTTGAAATGCATTCATGTAGCTTTTGCTGTAACAGACAACAAATAACACCACTAAAAAAGCCTAGTGACAGTTCTTCAGTATAATAGAAACAATAGTATAAACTTGCACTTCATCAATAAGTAGATTTTACTGAAGAAGGACATAAAAGAACAACCTCAAAATAAGAATAAAAACCCCAAATAAATAACTGAATCATCACATTTCTCACCTGGACACTTATCAACTGAAAAATCATAGGACAAACTACTTTTCTTCTTGTCCCTCACATCAAATGTAAGGTTACAGAAAAGTCCTTGCTTACACATATTTTAAAGTATTTTGGAACAACCAAAACTTTAAACCCTTTGGTTTTAGGTTTTTAAAGGTCAAGTTTACCTCAGCCCTTGCTGGTTTATAGAGATGTTACATCTCACTGGTCCAGCAGCCTCTCAGTGACATAAAGCCTCAGACATTAAATACCAGATGTTTATGAAGTGCAGTGGAAACGTTGTTTATTAATTCAATTTTTAGACATAAAGGATCTGTCACAGCTCATAAAAAGCAGAACATTCCAGACCAAAGCAAAGAGCCAGGCCAGCAGCAGAGTTCAAACACCAGAGGAAGAGCAGCTTTTCTTTTTAGGATTACATACCTCAGGTAAGTCAGGGATTTAATAGTTGCTAATGGATCCAGTTCACCCTGGGTAACGAGAGCACAGCAAGAAACTCTTAAGTCCATTTAGTGAAAAAGCAAATATTTGAAAACAAAGTTCCTGAACTCTTATCTATTTTAGAGATTAATTAGAAGTATTGCAAGTATTTTAACAGGAAACCTACTAAGCTTTGTGCAAGCTGCAAATCATGTTCATTTAAGTATGTTCACCACTACTACCAAATCCACATGATATTACTCTAAAGAAAAAGAACCAACTACTACCTAAAGCACATGGCACTACTGTCAGCAAAATAGTTAATTAGAAAGATAAAACTCACAAATTTAAGGTTGTTTAGCTTTATCCTGCACCACAGCTTACCAGTTCAGCAATGTTGTTGTTGGTGAGAATGAGCTCTGTGAGGCTGGGCAGAGCCTGCTCCAGGTTCTCCCCAATCCGACTAGAGAACAACAAAAAACAAAGGTTTAATTTAGGCCAGGGATTAGCAGTGGTGAAAACACACACAGAAACATGACAACACAGAGGACTGCCCTGTGAAACAACCCAGTCTGGCACTGGCAGAAGTTTGGGTGAGCACCCACTACAACACTTTTCCTAACAAAGCTGGCAATAAATACCAGAGCACTGGGTGCAATACTGGATTTAAATTCGTGCACTTGCAGGTATCCCTGTTTTCTTCTCTTTATGGGGATGATTAAAGAAATCTAAAGTTCTGGCCAAATTTCAAACTCTGCACCTCGTTGTCCTGGATGAAAAACAAAGACTGACTTTTGCACTGGAAGAGGAAGGAAAATCAAAGAGGGCCTATACAGCACCTCTATTTTATTTCCATAAAACAAACACTTCTGCACCTACCCAGCACTGACAGTCACATACACTTCTCTCCCAAGAGCATCCTCCTCTGCCCCAGGGTCCCACCTGGCCCAAACACAGCCCCTTACCAAATCCTGTTGTTGTTCATGAGCAGAGTTTTCAGCCTCCTCAGCAGGGGGAACCCATCCAGCTTTCGGATCTCGTTGTCAGAGAAATCAATGGCATCAAACTGGTCCAAAGTGGCTCCCAAGTTCTCAATCACTGGGATTTTATAGCCTGGGGAGAGAGGCCAAGGCAGGGATCAGGTGGTGCCCACAGCAGAGCAGAACAGAGCAAGCAGAGCGTGTGGGGGGCACGTCTGGATGGACCGAGGATGCTGGTAAGTCTCAGTCAAAACACCTCGGGATTGACTCCTCCACACCACTCACAGACCAAACTTTCCCTCTCAAACAACAGCCCCCGTGGCTTTTTCAATCCCTCTCCCTCAACAGACACCCCAAGCCCCTCCCTGTATGTGACCCCTCACCTTTGCAGCACATCCCCCCTGCTGGGGGCAAATCCCACCCCCTCCACCGCACCCTCCTCCCACATTTCCCCCAATTTCCCCTCCCTGGGGGATGGAACGAGATAATTAAATTCCCTCCCAACCCCAACGACCCTATAATTCCTCACCTCTCCCCACGTTTCCCCGACACAGGAGCCTCTTTAACCCCCCCAGTCCCCAACCTCTCTCACTGCAGCCCCTCCAACAACCTCCCCAACCTGCTGCGGCGCCTCCTCCCACGGAAAGCCCCAGATTCCATCACAGGATCCACCACAGACCCTCCCAGGCCTCCCCCAGGAACACCTCCAGGCCTCCCCAGGAACCCCCCCACAGCCTCGCCCCCGCCCCCGCAGGCCCCCTCCCGGCACAGCCCCCGCGGGTTGTCCTCGTGTCGGCCACCGGCGCAGGTCGTAGCTCCCTGTTCGCGACGGCGTTGGTTACTGCGCCGGCCTGCTCGATTTGAGTCTCTCTCTCCGTCCGTGGCTTCACCATCGCCGCAGCCCGACAGGCCCTCACGCCGCACAGGCGGCGCGCGCCGCCTCAGGGACACTTCTCTCTCTCGCGCCGAGCGCCGAGTGCGCGCCCCAGGCCGCGCGGTTCGCAGCGCCGAGAATGCGAGCGGCGGGATTACCGCCCGCCCCTCCCGGGATATTTGACAGTTATATAACTTCCCCCCCAAAAACACCAAAAACCATTATTCCCGGGCCATCCCCCTCATCGCCGGGCTGACACGAAACCACCGAAAACCCCTCAAACCCCTTCCCGGGCATTCCCCTCATCCCCAGGCTGGCACAGACCCCCAATGCCTCATGCCTGGCATTCCTCTCCTACCCGGGCTGACACAGAACCCCCCAAAACTCCCTCTCGGGCATCCTCCTCATCTCCGGGGTGACACAGACCCCCCAGTACCCCTCAAAACCCCATCCTGGGCATCCCCTTCCTCCCCGGGGTGACACAGACCCCCCAAAACCCCTCAAAATCCCATCCCAGGCATCCTCCTCATACCTGGCCTGGAACAAGCCCTCTAGTACCCCCCAAAACCCCATCCCAGGTTTCCCCTTCCTTCCCTGGCTGACACAGACCCTCCTCCCAGTACCCCCATTCCAGGCATACCCCTCCTCCCTGAGGTGACACATATCCCCTCCAAACCCCTCAAAACCCCATTCCAGGTATCCTCCTCCTTCCCTGGGCTGGCACAGTGCCTCATCCCAGGCATCCCCTTCATCTACGGGGTGACACAGGCCCCCCCACTACTCCCCAAAGCACCATCCCTGGGGTGACAGACTCCCCAGTACCCCCCAAAATACTATCTCGGGCATCCCTCTCCTTCCCGGGGCCAGCTCCCACCCTGGTACCTGAGCCATGGATCACCAAACCCAGTCAGGACATGCCTTTGCCATCAACAGTGCCCTAAAGCAGCACAAAGATGCCACCAGACGTTCCCTCCCAACTTCTGGTGTTGCCAGGCATGGATTTATCCACAGAAATCAGGTGGAGTGGGCTGGGAATCTGCTTCACACAATGACTGGCAGCAGGTGGGCTGCTTCCCTTCAGACACAGCTGGCTACTGTGTGCTCAGCCGGTGGAATTCTGTGTTCCAACACTTGCTGCTCCCCTCCTGCCACACAGCCAGGACGGTGTCCACAACAGCCACAGCTCTGGGTGCTCTCCCTCCAAGCAGCAGCTCAGCCTTTGCTCTTGGACATGGTGTTGCCCATAAGCACCTTCCCCCTGCAGTGTTTGGAGCAGTTGCTCTGTCACTTCCACAGGAATTCCTGGTCTCAGAGATGCTGTGATGGGCTGGGAACACGACACAGGCTATGGCATGACACTCATCCTTTATCTGTGAGATGAAATGTGCTTTCAGATGTCACTGCATCCCCTTTACCTGCTTTAGGAATGCAGAGAACAGCAAGAAAGAGCTGGGAGTAGTGCTGGGGGAGCTGAGATGGCTCTGCCTGTGGCCGAGGAACTTGGTTCCATGGGGAAGGCTCAGCTGGTGGCAGGAGGGCTCTGGAGTTGGGTGAACCACAGGGATGACTGGACTGAAGGTGACATGTGAAAAGAAGCAGCTGGCCATCCCCCAGTCCCAACACCTGCTGAATGTCACCAAGCCACTGCTTCTGGAGAAATCCTTCCCCATCCCTCAAGGTTTCCCTGAGCGAGGTGAGGAAGAACGATTCCTGTACCCACTGCTATCGAGGGAAGGACGTTTTTCACAAGCCATAACATTTCTGTGAACCCAGAGGATGTGATATTAGGTTAAACACTGCAGCCACACTTGGCACTGCAGAGTGATGGCTCATACTTTTCCTTTGGGAGCATTTGGAGCATCACCCTGAGCATGAGCCTGGCTCCTTCCCCAGGACTGCGGTGTTGCAGGGGTCAGCTGGGGCCAGGCAGCTCCTGTGCTCCCTCCTGTAAAACCCCCTCACCAAGTGAAAGCACGTAGATGTTACCAGGCTTTGGTAACATCTGCATTTGTTTAAAAGCAGTTAGAGAACAAGAGGGAGCTGTCACAAGAAAAAACTAGGAATTAGCAGCACTGTTGTACGTGACTCACGCAGTGGGAAAGACAACAGTCTTTAGTCATTTCAGGCAGTTGTTAAAAGGAGACTCTTTTCAGCCTTCTGGAAAGCAGGTCCTGCCTCTGACAAGGCCAAAGAAAACACAGGCCTTTCTCCCTCGGCACAATGCAGCTGTTTGCCTCGGCCCTACAGCCTTGGTGGAATTGGAATTGAGAGCAGACGGATTCTGGGGCTCAGATGCTTCACAAGAGCTCTCGACAGCCCTTCCTTTGCAATGGAAAGTCAAAGCAATGTTTTTTAAGATGTGTGTTCCCCACCTGCCAACTGCACAATGGCAGATGGCCGTGGATGCAGCCTCACAGCCAAGCAGCAAACGAGGAGTCAGGCTGCACTAAGATTTTCCAGAAAACAGCTATTATAGATTTAGCTTTGGTGCCAGGAGACAATAGAGAAATGAGCTTTAATAAATTGCCTAAATATGCATTTATCTTGAAGACACAGCCACTTTGATACTCTGAGCACACCAGAGCCAGACTTAAATAGCTCCAAGCAAGTATTGCAACAGCTTGGAGAAATAATCTGAATTTTATTACTTTACAAGAATGATTTCTGAGGGAAAGGCTGGAAGCTGATGTTGTTGCATAAACTTGATGCATAGAATTTGTTTCTCTTTCCCTGGCAGGCTTGAAAGCAGCAGAAAGTAGGATAAAACTGAGGCTGCCGTAGACTGGTCATCTTAAATTTCATTGCTTCCCCCAGTGTGTATTTTAAGTTATGTCAGGGATATAAGAGTAAACATTTTCCTTTTTTTGTTTTTAAGCATTTCAGTACATCTAAATATACCAAGAAGCAGAATTTAGAGGCAAGCTGCTGTGAGCCAGAGAACTGAAAGGCTGACACAGTAATCCCGAGCCACAGCTCCTTTTTTCTGACTAACACAGCAACAAAAATGAAGTTTGGTATTTTACAACCACAGGGGCAGAAGACAGGAGCATTTCACCCCAGTTCTGACCTCTGTTTTGGCCCAAGACCGAAAGGGGAATCCTCAGGCAAGAGAAGGAATCCCTGCATGTGATTAATTCACATTTATCATCTGATAAATGTGAAGACCTACAAGATACAGGAGCCCACAGCAGCACATCTCAGAGAAAGGATCTTCCCTTGTGGAGGGCTCCATTCTTTTCTTTTTTTCACACTTAAAAAGCTCAGTTTCAGATATCCAGACACTACCCTGGGCACTTGGCCCATGGTTAAACATTGCAAAACCAACACGAAAAACAAAAGGCTCCAGAGCTCCCTCCGTTCCCCAACACACCAGCGGCTCCTCTCCTTCCCCAGACAGCCAACAGGGAACAATTCCCCTGCGCTGGGAACTGCAGTGGGGAACTAGGGGGCTCAGGATGTTCCTTGTATGAGTGGGAAAAGGGAGCAAGCCCTCCTGCCAGCTCACACAGGATGCCCCACACCAGAGAACACACCCAGCCGTGCCCAAGCACAGCCCCAAACCTCACCAGGGATGCCAACCCAGCCTGGCACAGGGCAGGTAAAGGTGAAAGACCTTTATGAGAACAACAGTGATGTTTCAGCAGATGCAGCTCATCTGTTCCTGAGTGTTTCTCCCACAGGTGCTCTGGGCTGATCAGGAGCTGCTTTGTCCAGCAAGATAAAGACTCACGGTGCATCCCTGCCCTGCTGCTGGCTGGGATGGCAGCTGCATGAACTTGGAAAAAGCACAGATTCACTTGTCAGGGGAGATCAATAGTTTATTAACTTAAAAGGTCAGTTCACCAAAGCTCCATCTTTCCTTGGGTTTGGCCCAGGCAGGTGAGGACCAGTGGCAGTGTGGCTTTCCCCTCTTCCACCTGGCTGAGGTGAGCTCTAGTGGGCAAGCCCAGGCAGGGCACGTGTCACTGCAGCTGAAACCAAGCAGGGATTATCCCAGCTCTGTGAGGGACTAGTGACATTTCACACTGAGGATTTCATTGGCAAAAGGTTTAACTCATAAAAACTATTAACAATGAAAATCAGAACATGCAGCGTAGGAAAGAGTGTTTACATACGTCTGGTGCAAAGACTGGCTTTGCAGGGTCAGAGAGGAGAAAAGGAGAAGGAATAAGACACAAAAAGGTACCCCACTCCCATATAAAAAATAATCCACAGAGAAAAAACAAGGATTGTATAAGTTATTTTTTAAAAATCTGTAAAACAACATAGCCAAGGATATTTTAAACACAATTATATAAACACCACATGACTTACTATTAAGAGAGAGCATGAAAAAGTTTGTTTCGGGGGAGGGTTTTGTAGAATTAAGTTTCCTGTCTGGATCCCCGGAATGTCTCATTTGGGAAATAGATGCCCAAGAAAAATCACTGCCGTGAATAGGAGGATTTTGTGAGAGAGAGGGGTATACCCAGCAAAACAGGGGAAGGATGATGACACAAAATGCCAGAAGAGATTAACTGGGACAGCATCTCGTTTAGAGGAAGGATCTAGCTCGTTCCAGAACTGAATTAATCAGCAACTTACTCGCAGTTCCAGGAGGGAAATACAATTCGTGGTAAGGCTGGTCCGTGCAGACAAACCCCACCAAATCCCTAAGACCCCCTGTAGGCACACGGGTTTTGCCTGCCTGCAGTTCCCTGCTGGGCTGACACACCTGCAGAGCCACGTGGGTCAGCTCACGCTTTGGTCCTCAAACCTCCAGTTCTCGGCCCGGCCAGAGGGAAACAGCGACTGACCGAATCCGAACAGGAATTCCGGAGTGGGCTGTAGGGCACCGCTCTGGAACCGCCTGGTTCATCGTTTTACCTGTGTACAGAGCCGTTGGCAATTCAGGTCTGTATCAGCTCTCACCTAGCAGAGAAGGGTACCGAAAAGTGAGCCACAAACGGCTCTTTCCTCGCAGGTGTGGAGTCCTGCATCCCTCGCGGCGAGGGCTCCCGCCAGCCGCTCGGAGCGGGC